TCTGTTTGCTGCTGTTTGTCCCTGGGGTGAGGAGATGTGAAGAGACAGATTTTGTGTGCGTCCAACTGCTCCACATCCTTTGGAAGTTGGTTTAAGAAGTCTCTACTCTATGATCAGACTACTATTCTCAGATAAATGAAGAGTATCTGGGATAACAACAATCACCCAGAACCCATATTTGTGGGTCATTGGTTTTTCTTAATTGTCCTCACTGGCCCTCCAACTCCTTTGTATGGATGGATGGTATACTCCATCCCCCATGCTATGAAAAAGATGGTCAGGAGGAGCTGAGAAATGACTACCTTCATCCAGGTGTTCTTCATTAATCTCTTTTCTTTGCTATCAGTGTAATAAGTGTAGGGCTGGGAAATGCTAAAAACTCATGTTTATCAGGGAATTCAACTGATTTTCAAGAATGGAAGAGAGTAAAATTGTATGGGAATTTGATTAAGATGATGCATGATGCCTTCTGAGATGGTGATAGAAACTTATTTGTGGAGATTGTTATGCAAGGGTGGAATTCCTCAGTTGTAAGAAATTAGTCTAGAGCTACTCTAATAGAAGTTGCAAATCTTAAGAAAGTCACTTGGCAGACCATCTCTGTATTTAGAAATAATAGAAGTAAGTCTGCAAAGTGGACAAGGTCGGACTCCCTGTGACTCTGAGCCTTGAAAAAACTGAAGAAGCAAGCATTATGGGCAGAAAATATCCATGGTGACTTACATGGAAATACAAATAATAAAATGTATCCTTTGGCATATTTTTTCTTTTAAATCCTCGGTTAAACTTCAAGTGTACTTGGGAAAAATTTCCCAAATGTACTTTTTTGATAGCTTAACCCTTGTTAACACAAACTTGGTCTCCCCACTCAGAGCTGGGAGTAAAATTAAAGCAGTAACTTATTCTGTTTATTCAAGTTTGTTGAAATAGGACAATGCTGGAAAGGTGATCTGCACTGCCAATGTTGGACAGATGGTCTGTCTCCTGGGAGGTCTGTGTCCCTAAGCCATACAGGAGAATCTGAAAACTTAAATGAAGTTAACTTTCTTAAAAAAAAAAAAAAAAAAAAAAAAAAAACAAACTCTGCATTTGTCTTTTCTTCCCGCATGCTTTGGAGTTCTACCTTCAGACAGAAAAAATTATATATGAGTACAGATTTGCTTGCTTTGCTTTGCAGTGACTTAGACCATATCTTTTATATATTGTTATCTCTAAGAACCTAGTGAAAGAAAACTTAAAGTAGATCATAAGAAATAGGGATCAAATAAAACATGAAATATGGTCCCCATCCTCCATCTGCAGGTAATACTGGCCCTAACTAAACCATTCCAAGCAAATGTATGCCAAATGTCTTTATTTAAAAACATCCAGTGATGAATTTTCATCTATTAATTAACTTTCAGAGTGTTATTTTTTAGATTTTTTGTTGATTAAAGTCTAGCTAAAAATGCTTCTGTCAGAAATTATACCTGTTACCTATTGATGTACCCATAGCAAAAATGCAATTTAATTTTCTTGTTTCAGTTCTGTGTTTTTCAAAGTTAGTGTCTCCTTTCAGCCTAGACACTTGAAATACCTGCTCATGGATTGTGTTCTTGAAATCTGACCCTTCTTAGTATGTTCTTTTCTGGTGTTCGAGGCTGGATTGAATGGGGCCCTGGGCAGCCTGGTCTAGTATTAAATGTGCAGGTTGGTGGCCCCTGCATGTGGCAGGGAGGATTTGAGATTAATGATCCTTGATGTCCCTTCCAACCCTGGCCATTCTGTGATTCTTATTGCCTCTTTCAGATCTTGCTCTACTACTTAACAACTTATTAAGAACTGTGCCCTAATGCAGTAGTACTCCAGGGAGTTTTAACCTAGGAAACATCCATAGAAAGCCTTTCTTCAGCATGGTTTTTTGCCATAGGAGAACAGTAACTAAGATCTTTCCTGACTGTACTCTCTTAAATAGTCTTCTCACAAATAATTCTTTAGTGTATATTTCAGCAGTCAAAATGGTCCAGAACAATTCCTGTGGGAATGGAGTGGGCATTAAGCCACTCACTTCTGAATGCTAAGGAAGCTCATAAGCATAGACAAAAGATGCTCTAGACCATTTTGTTGAAGTGTTTGGGAATGTTTCCAGGATCACTTAGTTTGCAAGTATGAATGTTATGACTGCCATTGAAGAAATGCTCTTAGAAGTAACAACGTATATTCTGTTTTCACTGAAGCTTTCTAGTTTCTTTTCAGAGAGTTTTGTGGTGAAAAACCGCTTGACAGATTACTTAATGGGGAAAAAATAAGTGTAGATAAACATTTTTTAAATGTCTAATACTGAAAGACAAATATTCAATTGTGTTCAACTTACTGGGGATTCATGTTTTGTTAATTTTAATGCTGTGGTGGGAAAAAAAAAGGTTTTCTAACACTTTTTTTTTTTTTTCTTTCTTTTTATTTTTTTTTAGTGGGAGGGGAAGGAGAGGGGCATTTCACATCCTAGAATGGCCAAAGTGGGAGGATAAATTGAAGCACAAGCCTCTGTTTCTAAATGGTAATTTGGAAATCAGATGAGTATCTGATTTTCAAAATGTGAGGGCCAAAACTATTTTGAGTTAGCTTATATGTAATATCCTTCAAATACTTGTTCAAGGGAGATCTTTTAGTATTTTCATTTTCAAATACATGCAGAAGTTTAGAGGAAAAAAAATTCCTTTCTCCTCACTGTCCTTATCTTTGAATGTTTCTCTTACTAGGAGAAGGTAAAAATTTATACTCAAAACATTAAACACCTTTGTTCTTTGGATGAATAGCTATAGCTTCAAATCAGAGTGGCTCAGTTTTACTTTGGATATGTATTTTGATAGATTGTGTCTCCTGATATGCATTTATATTCTACAGATTTGTAGAACTCCAGTTTTGAATTTTGATGCTTAAATGACACAGTTTGTGCAGTTGTCACCAGGTCTTGAAGAGGATAGTTGTGATATTTGAGGTTATTATTAAAGTCCAGGTCCTACTTTTCTTTCTAAGTTATTTTTTTTCTAAAGTGTACCTAAAGAGTTTATGTATGTGAAACCTAAGACTTTTGAACTTGAAAGGCATGATAGATCAGAAGCACATAGAAGAAATACAGAGCTAATTTATTTTCAAAATAATTGTTTTAAAGTGGCTTTAGGAGTTTGAGGATTTGGCTAATGTTTTTATTTATTTATTTATTTTTTATGGCTGAGATAAGGAATATGAAAAATAAAGACTATGATGCATAACATAACCAAATATTCTGTAAAAATGAAAAAGCATACAATGAATATATCATTGTGCTTCTTCAGTAAGTGATAACAAGACAGTTATTATGTTATTCTTCACTGTGTGCTCTGTCCGGATCTAAGGTGAAGGTTGAAAGCATTCAGCCATCAAACTTGATAATGAAATCCAGTCCTCAGGGAACTCTTATTCAAGAAACTGAAGCAGAAATGATTTTATTAGAGTGCATGTTAGGGCAAATGAGAAATGATGCAACAAGTAGAGCAATACATGATAGTGAGATTTTCTGGTCTGCATGAATCATATTGCTCTGAGCAGATCTATGCTGTAATGCATTTTCACTACTATTCATTGGAAAAAACTGCAACTTTTGAAATGAAGGGTTGCCCTTTCTGAGGTGTCCCAAGAACTGAACAACTGATTGTTCTGTGCAGTGACTGTCTTTGACTCTCTACTACTAAAGATTTGTCCTCACGGAAAGCATCAAAGAGCATGTGTGTGAATTCAGACCAATAAATAAAAATTAAAAAATAATAATCTAGATATCCATATGTTCTAGTATAGTTTTACCAATCAATGTCCGGAATCTGTTTGGCACTTTACTTTTGATCATAGTTATCAAAGTAACAGAACAGTTATAATAATGACACTGGTACATTCTGGTCTCCTTGGTTAACAGATGCCATCCAAGTATTTTCTTTTTCTCTGCCTTTCTTAGTTTAGCTACTGATGCTGTTGTGCTTCTAGCAGTTCTAAACTAGAGCCCTGCCTCACTGTTACTCCTTGGCGAAGAAAGTTCCAGAGCAGATGCAATCCCTACTCTAATGGTCTCTATTTGGAGAGTCTGTTCTGCCTGAGTTGAAAGTTAATGTGCTGACATAGGGGCATTGTTAGGACATGGCTTGAACTGGTGACTGAGTACCTGGTGAAGGGCTGTGGTTGGCCCAAGGAGCACAGCCAGATTGTTTGCACCTGTGCTTCCTCACGTGCACAAAGGTGTAGACCCAGGGTGAAGCTACGCTGGGCTCACCTAAAGGCCAGCCACTGAAGGGAAAGCGTCCCTTGGCCTTATACTGCTTCCTGACAGGGAGTGCTGCATAGCTAGAGAGCTCCTTCAGTGTTTCAGTGAGTTCAGCTGTTCTTGCTGTATATGACTATTGACCTACCTGTGAATACTTTGCCTGGTATTGCTAAGAACCTGTCAGAAGGAATTTTGCATCTTCATGAGAAGAACAGCTGATGTGCCAAGAGAGGGGAAGAAGTCTCATCTTGTTTGTTTCTATTCATTCAAGAATCTATATATGTTTCTGGTTATAAACAGAATAAGTTGTGTTTGAGGTCTTCAGAGTGCAAGAGGAAATAGCTGTTTTCTATTCTTTGCATGCAGAATACTTTCATATTTTTTCTCCGTACCAGTTTGCTTAGAATTTTTTGATGAATTTCAATCCTTTTTTATGATGTATAATCAAGAAGTGAGTTTACGAGAATGGTTTGGGTTTGTTGTTCTGTTATTCAGTTGTGATTAGCAAGCTTGCACAGGTGAGACTTTGCTATTTCATCTGTGTTTGAAAGAAATTTAGAGTAACTTTCCAAGTAGACTCTTATCTTGCTAACAGCTAACAACTTCAGAAAAGTTGGCCTATTCAGTCTCAGGCTTCAGTGAAAGCAAACAAAGTATAGCAAATATTGACTTACTACATGACATCTCAGTAAAGTAAATGTCTGTTTGTGTTCTCTTCTTATGTGTGGCATAGGATACATTGTGGAAAACAACAACAACAACAAAACCCACAACAAATATTCCAGAATTTCCTGATGCTACCTGGTGCGTTGTGTTCTGAACTATTTTAACTTTGATAAGAAGTTCACTAGATTAGTAAGTTGTTTTTTGTTGTTGTATAATTTTATTTTTATTTTTTAGTTTCATCTCTTTATCTGACCTGTGAATACACAAATACCAGCCTGAACTATTTGACTTGACATGGAACTTTGAGCTAAACTCCTTTAGCTGATAAGAATAAACTTGAGATTCTTTTTTAGATGAATAATACACTTCATCTTTTCACATCAATCAAATGTCATGATGATGATTAATGCTATTAAGAAGTGTTTATTTGGTTTGTAGGCTACATACTATATATATTTTAGCAGTACACAAAAGGTATAAATAAAAAATAAGAGACAAGTTTGTATATTTGCATGAGTTTATTTGTGTAGTATAAGATGAGTAGATCAGAGTGAGAACTAATCATGTTAACTGAGAATAATTCATCAATTGTTTATTATTGCAAGGTACCTCTAAAATATTAGTGCAATTTCCCAGCACCTATGGGAAATGAGTCAACAATAGCATTAGTATTCTTGTTGAAATAAATAGAGCACGTGTTTCATGAGACAACGTGGAATTCTTGTAAGTGCAAGTGTTAAATATATAGCATGTCCAATCTAGTCTCAGAGTCTAGTTGGATTTAACCTATATATTTTCTGAGCTAAGTTAGTGTAGTTTTTGAAGTTAGTATTGTTATATAGTGTAGTATTAAGTCAATGTTGTTAAAATGTTAATAGATAATCTCTTAGTACAGTAAAGTGACTGCATAGTGCAAAGAAGTAACAGTGAAGGATATGCAGTTTTTGAGGAGAGTCCACACATGTATAGTTCCAATTGTCTCACCACAGAATTGTTTGCAGCAGGTCTGTTCTGCATGGAGTGCTCTCCCAGCGGTCTTGGGGCAGGTCCCAAAGGTTATGGCATCATCTGGAACTGGCTGGAATCTTGTCTGGATCTTCTCCTGCTCTGCTCCTGGGGAGGTTGTAGCACAGTAGTTATGTTTAAGGGAAAGGATGGTTTTAACTTTGAAATGATAAATATGTCCTTGACCCTATCCTAGTTTCCAATTATGCTCATTTTACAAAATCACTGCTTTCAGAGGGAAGGCACTGACTGAGAAGACTCGGCTTTCTCACGTGCAGTGGGAACTAAGACTAGGGGCTCCATTAGCAGCTTCTTCTATTTACTGCATTAGATATTTACAGTATTTTATCCCTTGGTATTCCACAGATAGCTAGCTCAGATGAAGTTGCTTTTGTTTAAAATTTATAGCTTTGATATCTGACAAGAAATGGGCACTTCAGTTCCTTTCCTTCTTTCTTGATTGCTGCAGGAAATTTACTATTTCTTTTCCCTGTCAGGCAGCACAGAGAGAATACAATTCCCACTGCTGCATTCATCTGCATTCATCACAAGCATTCATGTATATCTCTAAGCACCACTGATGAATTACATAACAGTACAGTGTAATTTCATAACAGTTTATTATATACCATACAGAATTTTTCCAATGGCTATAGGGCGAAAAGTAGCTGAGAAGCATATCCAGATCCTAATCTCGTCTTTACTAGACATAAAAGCTGTTTGACATATTGGCTCTCTTTCTGGTTTAGAATTGGAAATGAAGAGGCCTTTCCTTTGTCATCTGCTCATAAAACACTGCAAGGTATTGTGTAAAGTTGAGATTGTAGTGGGAACTGTTCAAAGACCTGGAATGACTACTGAAGTAATTATTGTTGGTTGTGTAAAAATATACTTTGTACAGCTTCAAAAATGTAATGAAGCTGCTGAACTTTTAAAATTCTGCTGTGTCTTTAATTCCTTTCCTTTGTAGCTGGATAAAAAAAAAAAAGAAAGAAACGGTTACAGTAAGTGCTGTAGTTCTTATTCTTTCAACAGAAGGATGGGATTATTTCAACTTTTGTATTAAAAAACCCTCACACATTAAATGAATTGCATTAAAGTGACATATTAATAACTTGGAGCTAGCAATTTCATTTCCCAGTGCCTACTTTGAGTCCTCATGATCTAATGCATCTTAACTTCAAAGCAGTTTCTTCAGGATACAGGAATGGAGTTTGAGTGTGATTTCAACAATAACGATTACTTCTGACTTTGATAATTACTTATACATGCAAGGACAGTTGTGTCTGTCTCTCTTTTTTTTTTTAATTCCCTCCTGCCCCTCTGCTTTTTGAAGAGCTTTATAGTTGAACAGATTGCACGGACTGATTTTATGGACAGTGATGTGTGAAAATAAACGCTGTTGCAACATTTGATCAAAATATTTCTGTTTCTCAAAGTAACATAGAGGATAAAGGACGAATGCAAATTCTGCTCCAAGTGATAACAATTTTAATTAAAAATTGTGTTAAACTCATCTCATAAAGAAAGGGGCTAATGTTTTTATGAACAGGTCTTATTAGGGTATTCCTCTTACCTGAAATAGGAGTGACTTTTATTCACCCCTTACCTCTTCTGTTTAACTTTGCAGTTACAGCCTGATTCATTAGGTTTAATTGCTGTAGTGTGCACTGTGTGTTGCTTAGGGTGCCAGTTGCTTTAGTGAGTGATGCAGCAGCAACTGGATTAAGATCCCAGGGAGATGCTCAGTGCTACTGCAAGTCTAAGAGATCACGTGTGGGCACTAGAGAGCATAGAATCCACGGCAGGTATGTGAAATCTCAGCTATAGAAGAGAGAAGTAAATGACTGTCCCACAGGATCTACTTGGAAGAGCCCAGGGAGTAGTTACTTCTGAAGCCAGCCTAGGAGAATTCCTATTACTTTCAAAATAAATTCGTGCATTTTTCAGGTAATATGTCAGGAAGTTCCTCTGTTCCTGTGAGAGTAGTCACAATTTATTTAAATTTATTATTTAACATTTATTATTGTTATTATTCATGCTTCACTACTGGAAGTAAGTAAAGGTAAACACTGGATGTAAGTAAAGGTATAATATTTGGCAAAACTTTTTGATTACTTATTTCTTCAATAACTAGGTCTTTCCCTTCCTATAGCTAGGTGTATTTCTTTATCTCAGTTTCTTTATAAAGGAATTAATCCATTTATTCAGTGTTTACACTATAAGAGGAAAAGACTATTTTTAGGCTAAGCAGAACCAGCAAAACCATTATGTAATGCAGATAAAAAGATTTCTGTTGACCATGATGTTCTTTAAGCTGCAGCATCAGTGCCCCGTCAATTAATGCTGAAGTAATTTTATAGCACTCACTTTTACATTGTATGGCATTATAATAATTATTATTTTAACTAGGGCATTGTATAGCTCTGGGTATTGATGATGAAAGATGCATTTTATGTTTTAAATGATGTCAAGAGCAAGAATACTTTATAGGTTAAGCAAGACGATTTGCAATTTTGCAACATTCATTTCCTGTAGGTATTGTCTGCATCTCAAGATTTGACCTTGTTTTTAACTCCAGGATTTAGGAGAAAGCTGGAGAACACTCAACCTTAAACCTGAATTAACATCACATTCTCTACTTCAAAGTGAAGAAAAAGTATTTGTTATTGGTGATACTGCTGAATGTACCTATAATCAGGTGAAATTTGTATACCGGCCTTCAGCTTTTCTTCACAGCTATTGATTCACCCTTGAAAACTAGATTGAGACTATAGACCACAGAAAATCCCATTCCAAGTTAATGATGTGGATTTCCATCATTAAAATTAATGTCAGAAAACTTAATCCATTTGCTGTATTGATTTGCTAATGAGAACACTTCTGTATTCTCCTGTGAATGTTACTTGTTTTGTACATTGGCAAAGCTCATGACCCTGACTGATCTCGAGATGATAGCTATTCTCAACAGGATTTTTTATAATTCATTACAAGTTTGTGTGAAAGATCTTTTTTTTTCCTGAAGAATTGCTGTTTTCTGAGCTTTGCCTTCTAATAATTAAGAAGTGAAGCTGAAAGAAAATATGGAATAATTTACAGACCATCAGTTTTGCAATTAGAAAAATACATCTTCTTTGACAAGGTGTATTTTTCAACAAGGCAAAGCACATCCAAAAAAAAAAAAAAAAAAAAAAAAATGCATTTTATGTGCAGAAAGAAGCTCTTGTCTTTTCATTCTATCACCTAAGGGAAAACATTCTGTAATAGTCTTTGACATCCTTTAAAATTAAGTTGTTGCCTTGACTGAAATGCCTGTGTGAGAAAGGAAGAAATCTTTTAGGTAGTGAATTATGAGCTTTGTTTTGTTACAGAGAGAATTGTGCAAAAGTTTGCAAAAGTTGAGGCGTCTCTCTCTCTCTATTTAAGAAAATACATGTTTTAAACCAACTCAGGTAAACCTTTTCTTTTGACTGCATTTGGCTTTTCTGTAAAGCAATTGCTATAGCATTAAAGTACTCATGGAATAGTAAAGATTATCAACAGGTGGCTTTTCTGCTTTCACTGATGGCTAGTTATTGTCTCACAGAGTCTGAAGAAGGACATTAGTTTATCACGTTTCCCTTTCCAGATCTTCAAGTATCTTCTTTGACAAGCTGTATTTTTCAACAAGACAAAGCACATGAAGGGAGAAATGCATTCAGAATCTTCAATTTCATGATATCAAGGAAAAATGGAAAACTCATTGTGACCTTACTTATTCTTCATGACTTTATAAGTTACAAAATATTAAAGTTCTACCTCTGTCCTGCTTGGAATATTATAAGCCAGTTCTTCGGCTTGGCATAAGCAGTACTTGTTGTCAAGGAGCATACTTGCTTGCAGAGAATGCTTGTTTACTACTTGATTTGCTCAGGCACTTTGCTTTTTACCTCCTCTCTCCTTTCAGCAGCTGCAAAATATACTTGAGAATAACTATGTTGCTCGCAAGCCACATGGTATGCACTGTATTCTTGGCAGAATACCTCCCATGTACTTGATCACTGTGGAATCTCCCTTGCCCCTTATTCTGCACCATGAACAGAAGATAATCTAGATAATCTACCATGTAACTGGATATAGGGGGGGAAATAAAAAAAAAAACAACAAAAAAACAAACAAACTTGTTTGATAAAATTGTAAAATTCTAAAATACTGCAACTGTCATTTTAGATATAGTATGTTTCACACAATTTTCATATTTTTGAGGACATGTCAGTCCTCATCCAATTTCCTTTTCATGTCAGGAAGCATTCATTTGCTCTGTGGGGGGGACAGAGCACTGGCACAGGTTAGCCAGAAAGAACATGAGTCTCCTTCTTTAGAGATCTTCAAAAGACAGACATGGAATCCAAACATTGGCCTGAGCACCCTGCTCTAGCTGTCCCTGCTTGAGCAGCCGGTTGGACCAAATGGATCCAGAGGTCCCTTTCAACCTCAACCAGTCTTTATCTTCTCTTGGAAACAGGTATGCGTTCCCTTACTTTTTCACATGAGACAGTCATAGGAAGAACAATTGCTCCAAATACCTGGGGGAAAAAAAAAAAAAGCTTATCCATATATCTTTTTTGAGGAGATCTCTCAGACTGTATTGAAATAAGTCACTACTGCATAGTAATGATATTTTTATACTGTCTGGATGTACTTTATCCAGGCCTCTCTTTCATGAGGCATCTCTGGTGTAAAGAATTTAAAGAATAGAACTGAAAAGATAATATGCCTCTAAGGAATTAAGGGACCCCTTTATCATGGCTGGCCTTCCTGGGATGGGACTGCAGTGCTTGCTATTATACTTGCATTCTTGAAGGTTCAGTGCGTTTTAATTGTACTCTAGTTAACATATTTCTAAATAAACAAATACTTAAATGTCTAAAAAGCTGCAGAGTGAAATAGTGTTTCCTTTAGGGGATACTTGAAATGAAAAAGCTAGGAGAAAGTGGTAATACGAGGAGGCCAAGATACTACAGAAATGAGATGTATCAGAACTCAAACTTGCAAATGGCTAAGAATATTCCTTTGTGCATCTACATATTGCTTTCTAAATAGGCTACTTCATAAGAATTTTACCCTCTGTGATGTTCATATTCCTTCTGCATTTATGGAAGCTGATGTTTTGTTCTTGGCTTCTGAGTCTAGGATAGCAATAGCAATTTGAGTTTCTCCTCCTGCTGGACAAAGGAAGGTGCTGTCAGCTAAAAGAGAAGCTGTATGTGCCCATTATTGGAAATGCTGGTGTCACGATCATAGTACTTATACCAAAATTCCCTGTTTTCTGCTAGTTTAAGACAGAAAAAGCTGTTCCTTATTCCTTTTGAGCAAACAAGCACATTTATTTTTTCTATTGTTTTTTCGAGTTTAATCTAAAGAGAAAGAAATAATACTTGAAGCTAGGTGTTGCTGGAAGCTTTGGTTATAATAACTTCGGACTTATTTTTTATATAGCAGAGAAAAAAGGGAGGTGGGCATCTTTTATAGAGCTGTCTAAAGAGTTTGCTCTATTTTTAAGCTTTTTTTTTTTTTTCATTGATAGTAACCTTCAAAGGAGAAAGAACTTGTGAGAGATGCAATAATTTTGTTACTTGTTACTTTTGTAAAATGTAATGCTAGCCTTTTGTCAGCAAGTAGTTTCTACATAGTGAAAATAATTTCATCTGCCATCTGCACTTGTGTCTTATTTTATGCATGCAGGTTTATCTATTTATTTAAAAGAAGTTGCATGCTATTGCTGAAACTGTCATCTGGCTTGTTGCTGCCAAATTGAGTGTGGCCCTGTTGTTTGTGAAGACTTCATACGATAACAGTGAGGCTAGAACTAAGGCATCTTTACTTTTCCCATTGTACATCACTCCTTTGAAGAAGTTTCAACTCCAATTAATGACACGGTCTGGTGAGTTGTTCTTGCACCACTATGATACTTTGTTAGGTATTTGGATGTATTGTCATCATCTAGAAGAAGACAAACTGAATAAGACCCATATGAGTCTTATAATCCGTTCAATATGGAGAGCAATAAAATATCTGGTGTTTGTATAAATAAATATATGTTCACATATGGCTAAAGTATATATGTATTTAGAT